TGTAGCAATAATAAGATTTTTTGAAGAATTTTAAGATTGCATTGAATATTTTTGGGATTTTTAAAACAAATAGCAGAATTTTGAAACAGTTTTTACAATTTTATGAGTTATTTAAGTAATTATGAATTTTTATGTAAGTAATTTTATTTAAGTAATTACGAATCTTAAATATAAAATTTTTTTTATTTTTAAAACAATAATAAACTTTTTTAAATAATTGTAACATTGCTTACATAATCTTGATATCTGTTAAACTTTTTTAATATTCGTTAAACAATATTGACGTTTTATAAATAATTTATATTGTTTTTAAATAATTTGCGGCTGTTTTAAACAATTTTTAAACTTTTAAGACACAAAAGTACAAGTGAGGTATTTTAAATAATATTTAACTAGTTAGTTAAATTAAATACAAAGAGTAATGAGAAATACGCTTTGACACGATCCAATTGTCTGAAGGGCCTCGCGCCAGTCTAGGTAGTGCCGACCCTGGCCGCGCAAATTCCACGCGCGCCCATTCATTAACTTTAATATCTCACCATTCTAATTCTACTCATCGGATCGCTTTTTGATAGAGCTTTTCGTTTTAGAAATTCACGGAGAATACGTTGATAACTGGCGGTACGCGAGTTCTGAGATACCCTGTCGTTGTGTCTCGCTTAAACGCATTCATCTGTCCTTATCTAACATATTGCAACGGCATCTCTCTTAGAAGATTGAATACCTACTGCTAGACACAATTATTGCTTTGTTTACCATTCCGAGTCTTCGCTCGGTGTTCGTATCACATCATTTGCAAATCGATATAAATCTCTTTTGAAGCTTTTAATCTTTCGTAAACTCAGTATTGTTTGTGCATGTAATGCGCTGAGTGTTGCACTATCGTTTGGTCCATACGAGCTATAAAATTTTTGTATTAAGGAAACATTTACGTTAGGTGACAGCTCTACGAGTTGAAAAAAATGTAAGTTTTTAACTTTTTTTCCGATTTTAGTATAAAGTCTATTGCAGTAAATTTTGCGTCTACTTTAAGTCTGTAAAAGGATTTTTTATTCCGTTCAGTAAATTCGGATATTTATATCGATCTGCAAAATCCCGACGATTTGGCCATTACAGCATTCCCTTAAGGTCTGGCAAACCACCAAGAGACTATTAGATTCTGGAGTCAAAAATAGGGTGTCCAATTATGCAAAATCGATGTGACCTTGATTTAACATTGCCTGCGTTCAGCAGAGAAAACCGTGCTGAGCGCTCACTCAGCAAAAAAGGGATTAATCTATGATTAATATATGTTTATTTGTTATAATTCGTAATAATTTGTCAGTATTGGAGCGATTTATAATTACGTTTCACCGCTCATTGAGCGCTACATAACCTTACGGCCCAAACACAGTATTACAGAAATAATAAACAGTAATAAATAAGTAAGAAATGTGATATTAAAGATTATCTATAATAGACGAGAGTTATTCTGCATCACGAATTATAATAAATAAACATATTGATCATAGATTAATCCCTTTTTTGCTGAATTAGCGGTTTTCTCTGCTGAATCTGTCAATCATTGGTGACACCACCCAAGGTTAAAGATAAATCTTTAATGCGCATTTCCAGTGGAAAATGTAGATTAATTTTAATCTCGGTTGAACTTACTCTTCGTCTTTTTCTAGTTCTAAAGATTAGAAAAAGACAAACAGTAAGTTGAACCGAGATTAAAGTTAATTTACATTGGTGGAAACAGGCACAAATAAACATTTTTAAACCCTACAATTTTTGTCTAAAACATTTTTCTTAAAAATGCATATTTCTCGAGATATTCAGCCGACTCGCAACTTTTGGCGGACATTGTAGTATATATATAATTTGAATGTTACACTGAATAAAGTTTACTGTTCTTTTTCATAACGATATTGTATGGGTATGGGAATAAGAGAGAGAGAGAGAGAGAGAGAGAGAGAGAGAGAGAGAGAGAGAGAGAGTTTCCGCCCTTTTTGAAAAGAAAAGGATGTTTAAACAAATCTATATAAGTGAGTTTATTCAAAGTATGCTCCTTCGGAAGGGACAACTTTCTCCCACTTTTCCGGTAATAAACGGATTTCTCGAATGAAAAAATCTGGTTCTTTTGAATCATCAAGCCATTTTTTGATATCTTCATAAGAATTGAATCGTTTTCTAGAAAGGGCCGACTGCATGGATCGGAATAAATGGAAATCTGAAGGAACAATGTCCGGTGAATACGACGGGTGGGGCAGAATTTCCTACTTTACTCCTTCCAAGTATTTCTTGACCGGTTTTGCAACGTGTGGCCTAGCGTTGTCATGTAACAGAATCAGCTTGTTGTGCCTATTGTTCCATTCCAGTCGCTTTTCTTTCAAAGCTTGGTTTAAACGTATCAGTTGTAGTCGATAACGATCGCCAGTGATGGTTTCGGACGGTTTGAGCAGCTCATAATATATAACACCT